GTTTCCTAACTGTGCATATGACAAATAAACACTTTGACTGTTTTTCCTAGAGTTGACATAAGAAGGAACTGAGACTATACTCAGGCAGGAAAGTAAAACTTAGAGATTTGCATCTTACAAAATGGAACAGTAACATGGTCAAATTTTCACAAACAATATTCAAAACATTACAAAGTATATAAGTTAGTTAACATTGGTGCAGCATGCAGGGGCGACACATACAACCTTGTGCTGTGCTCAGCTCAGCGCAGTGCAGATATGTTCTTGCACCAATCAACACCTAGAAATGAATGGGTTTGATAGTGGAGTGCAGCGCCCACCGCGTCCTATCTGAAAACGGTTTTACGCAGCAGGTAAAGTCAGTCCGACCTCACTGCTATCACTGTTAAGTTACAGTTTCTCCAAAAGAACAAGATTCACACAGACATACACTACCACATGGATATACGTTGTCTGTTTTTTGCATTTTATGGCAGTTTGATCAGCTCTGAAAGCAGCTGTAGGTAGAGGTAAAGTGGACAACACAACCAGTGGCTGGGAGCTCTGGTGGACCACAGTTTCACCGATTCTGATTGGATAACCTTTCACCTAGAACTGTCAAATCGAGTTTGATGAAAGCTGGTATCTATAATGTGTGTGTATGGAATTATAGTGTCTCAATTGGCACTCCACCCTTACTGCAAACTAAAAAAAGCAGCTCTGATTCTAGACCAGAGTATTGTTGTCTTCCATAACGTTTAAAGGTTGTTGTACACCATGAGTACTGGGGGAAATGGCAGCTACTGGTGCTGCCACCAGTGTGCTTAAATACTCCTTACAAATCAAATGTTTCCCTATTTCTTTGTAGGTGCTGGAAAAACCACACTCCTGAACTACATATTAACAGAGCAACACAATAAGCGGATTGCTGTCATACTTAATGAGTTTGGAGAAGGTAAAGTAATTATGTCTTTTGGTGAACTCCAACTTAAAATGCACAGCTGCAATGGCCAAAAGATTCTCTACTGTGCACTTACTACAAAGTTGTTGTGTTTCCAGAGAATTCCACAAGAGGGCAGCATAGTTAACACATGGGCATAAACCCAGAGCAGCTTTTAATTGTTTTTCATCATGTTACACAGTCTGTAAAATGTTGTGCACTATATTTGCATTTAACTCTCTTTTGTTATAATGTCAGTGTTTTACATGTATTGTTTTATGTTTAGGCAGCTTATTAGACTGACTTGACAAGTTCCTACTTTTTTTCATTAAATAGGTTTAAAGTCAGTTCCAGGTGCCTTGATAAACTCTTGTGTTTGCCAGATTTTTTGTGAAAGTCATGGCTAAAAGGGATGAACTCTTTGTAATTGGTACAAGCCACCCAGTTTCTTATTGTTTTCAGTCATCCTCTCCCTGCAGGCAGTGCCCTGGAGAAGTCCCTCGCAGTGAGCCAGGCCGGAGAGCTGTATGAGGAGTGGCTAGAACTGAGAAACGGCTGCCTCTGCTGCTCTGTGAAGTATGGAGATTAACTGTCATCCTGTTTTTCAGTAGGATAGAATGGATGGATGCTTTAATGTTTAACCTAACCTTCATTATTTTTGGTTTCAAATTAGGCAACAAAGTTTAAATTGCCAAGATAATGTATCACCTTTTCCATATGTATGTATGAAGTACTGCATTAATAAGTATATAGGTACAAAATATCAATACTTAATTTTATTAAAATAATATTTTTGTCTGGTATCCAGTTCACTGGGCTTACAACACAACATATTTTTGCTTTGTATATTTTGCACTATGTTACTATAGAAATAATGTAAGTTGTGTCTTCTGTGGATGTTATGGGTTTTGAATGACATTTTAAATTATTTGGTCTGTTTCCTAATTTTTCAGGGACAATGGTCTTAAAGCCATTGAGAACCTGATGGAGAAGAAAGGAAAGTTTGACTACATTCTCTTAGAAACTACAGGACTTGCTGATCCAGGTAAAACACACTTTGCTAACTCCTGATTGAGGTGTTTTAGTTGGCCACCCCATCAGCCCCTAATGGTTACACAAGGTCTGTAATAAAGGCTTTTGAGAAGTGGGATCCATACAGTATCTCATATAAAATCCCTGCAGCCAACAGTTTAACAAGGGAACAAATTAGTCTGCAGGCTTTCAGATTTGAGAGCTGAACATTAGTATGCTTAATTGAAAGATTGTGCAGACAGTAACTGCTCTTTGATACATTTTGTTTTAATAAATGTACCCAGGACTCCTTGGACAGTGCTCTACATGAGTTAGAAATAAAGTTACAGTTTTTGATTGAGCGTTTCCAGCACAACATTTAGGGATGACATATCGATCAAACAATGCCGCCCCAGCTCTTTCACTCCATATGCGCCTAAAGCCCATATGAGAACTGAAACATTTCTAGCTCTGAGGACCAGACTATGTTGCTGTGGCAAGGAGCCTGTTTCTTTCAGGGCAGCCAACAAAGATCTAGCTGTCTGTTCAGCTCTCAGGTTTAAATCAGGAAATCAATACTGGGCCATTACAGGGTGAGCGCTGTGACGAGTGGGGTGTGTGGTTAAGTGACAGGTGTCAGGAGGTAGCGGCATGGGCAGACACTTACCACTTGGCCACACAGACAGAACCAACATAGCACGCTTAGACGTGGGCTCTCCTCACCCCCCTGCCATGTCATTGGCTGAGACGGGCTTGTTATCGGCGAGAACAGGTCTGTCATTGGCTCTGGCAGTGCTGTCAATCATAAAGGCTCCCCAGAGGATTCTCCCCTTTAATTCAGGAAGAGGTTGGATGAGTTATGCGAAACATGCCACTCAAAAACGGTGTTTTCATTACACATCCATCAAATATTTACAATGCTTTCTTATTCTCGCTTGGCAGTTTGACAAAAGTGCATTATGTGAACAAGCTGTGGCTGGCATGGCAACATAGGGGCTTATAATAACCGTATCCACAGGAAAATAGAAACAAACCAAATGTACCAGCAGGAGATAAACAATTGAAAGCTTCTGATATTGATTTTATCTGCTTCACAGAGCTCTGCAAGAAAGCAAAATGCATGCCATAGATCCTACAACACTTATCAAACAAAATGCAAAAACAGTCTGTGGTTCAAATGTGAGGAGTTGCTGCATTTCTCATGTCTGATGGTCTGTATTCTTAGTGAAATTGGTAATTACCATGTAGCATGCCAAGAGCTGCTTTTTTAATTAACGTTTGTTATTCTTTTGCAGAACTCATGCAGATGTTAATACATTTTCAACCAAACAATTTGGCCTCCGTTATGTGGTTGAAATAACATTTGTGTGTCTTAACACTCATGTTTTATGTGTATGTGCTTCACATTATCATTATCACATTTAATTTCCTGTACATCTAATATACCAGTTCATGTCCTTGGGTAGGAGCCGTGGCCTCTATGTTCTGGGTTGATGCAGAGCTTGGCAGTGACATCTATTTGGATGGTAAGATGTGTGACTCTTTGTTCATCATGCAGTGACATTGGTTGGGACTGCCTCTATTTGGCTGGTGTACAGAACATTATTTTTCAGTCTGTCTGATGCAGTATAAAATGAACAGTGCAATTTAGTGTTGCCATTTTAACAGTGTACTGGTTAATAGAGGTGCAATCATTCAAATTCAGCCATTTATTTATTTATTTATAACTTTACCATAAGACTAATTAACTTTCCAACACAAATCAGGTTTTCTTTGCAAATAGCACCAATAGATCTAGTGTGGGGTAATTAAAGGCCAGAATTTTAACTCTGATGTGATCACTCAGACACCACTCAGCAATCCATTTTTTACTTAACCTAGGGGAATGTAGCTTCTCACAATACACATCTAGATTTAAAAATATGCTTCAAAGTGATATAATTAAATCATTTTAAATTTAAGCCTCTTATTCCAGTACAATTTTAAAAGGCATTTTCAGGCTTTCCAAAATGGTTCCAGTAGGGTGACATACTATATTTTCTTATTTATTTATCTGCTTTACGGGTATATTTGTGTTTGCCTTAATTGTGCCTCGCTCCTAATACTAAATTCTCAGCTGTTTGCTCTGTTGTGACAGGCTAGCAGACCAAAAGCGTACTTCAAATAGCCTGGGAAAGTGGTTTAGCTAAACGCACAAAACTAAACACCAAAAGGCAACTGCAGTTCGAAAAACAAGTTGTGCTGCTGCTTTGGATTCACATTCATTATCTTGTATATTTTAATTCTAGGCATTGTCACCGTCATCGATGCCAAGTATGGACTAAAGGTAGGCAATACCAATACTTTTAAGTGGCTTTTCAGTTTTGAAATACAGTATTATTATTAGTACTACTATTATTAGTAGTGCTGAAGCTATTTGAGTCAGTGCATACATTGATCGACAGACAATTGACAGTAATTTCTACAGTTGATCAATCTTTTAAATCATTTATCGAGCAAAATTGTGAAGCATTTGCTGGTTCCACTTCTCAAATGTAAACGTTTGCTGCTTTTCTTGGTCTACCTTTTGGTAAATTGAATATCTTTGGGTTTTGGGTTTGGGATTTCTAATCATTTTATTTTTTTTTTATAAATATTTTAAGTTCTTTGATTTACTAGTTAATCAAAAACACAATTGAAAAATAATTCACTATGTAAAATAATCAGCGGTTTTAGATGCCAAACTTAAAGGCATATTTGAGTTCTTCTTGACTTCCTGTTATTAACGGAGTTCCCCAAGGCTTGGTGCTCGGTTTGATTTTGTTTTCACATATTTATCATATGTACTTTTGAGCAACAACCAAATAAATTGTCCTGATTGTGACTTTAAAGCCCACATAAGCTGCTAAACTTGTGAGGTTGTTTGTAAACCCTCAGTGCATAGCAACACACCCTCACACATATCCTGGCCCCCATGTGGTATTCAAAAGGAACAAGACAAGTGACACCTTAATAATGAGTTCTAATTTGAAGGTTTTGTTCTCAGTGAAGTGGCACATTTCATAGATGCTGCTCTGTCCTCACAGTGGAGAGAGGCAAGATGAAGGAAAACATGACAGAAAGAGGGAGAGGATAACTCCTGGTGAAGGAGTAACTGATATCAGAGATGTGACCATTGTAATAGGGCTGTCTCATCCACTCACCTGCCTCTCCCCTCATTTGTCTCATGAGATATCCATTTGTCTGACGAGTTTCAGGTTGGCTTGAGCGCATGGCCTCACACCCTCTAAGAGGCCTTTGTCTCTCTGTACAAAGGTTGTCACATAAAAGCAGCAATCAGCCATTCTATTAAGTTTTATTTAATACATTTTTGTCATCCATTCCTGCAGAAATAAGGCAGTGGCAATTCAGGCAGTGACAGATTCATGTCAAACTGACACTCAGGGGTCAGGATCCAGATTAACACCTCCTGCCATGTCTGTTATTACATATTAAACTGTTTTGGAAAATGCTACGTCCCCAGTGCAAGCACAAGAGCCAGAGAAAATGAAAAGAGTTCTCCTGTGGTTTCATGTGTTGAAAAATTCACAAAGATGAAATACGAGCCTTTCTTTTACAATTTATCTGTCACATATTGTGTTGACTGTTGCAATTGTTCACTGATGTCTTCAGCTTTTTTAAGTTGGAAACTATTAGGGTCAGCACTTTTAAGTCCTTTTTGGCTTTCATTTTGTGGTTGCATGTGTCCACTGTCTCTGCTTTCCATAGCAACTAACAGAGGAAAAAGCAGATGGAGCCGTCAGTGAAGCAGTGAGGTATGTTTAGTGTTGTCTTTGACACTTTTTTTGGATTAAACAAAAAAGATATGACATGTAAATGGGTGAGCTTTAGAGATGCTGATGAGGTACTGTTACCTTTAGACAGAGCCAAGCTACTGTAGCTGTTCCTCCCTGTTTAAGGCCTTTGTACTGTGCTAAGATAACTGGCCTCTGGTGGTAGCTTTCTGTTTGCCATGCAGAAGTGAGTGGGTGCTTCACTGGAAAGAAAGCAAGTAATTGCATTTGCCAAAATGCAGAACTATTCCTTAAAAAAACCAAGCAAACCACTCAGTATCCACCACACCTGGTCTCATAACTGGCTGTTGACCGTACTCATGCCATTCACCCATCTGTCTCTCCGGGTGTCTTTCTGTTTGTCTCTTCCCATAGTTGTGTGGTGGTGTTGACCAAATACACTGTCTTTATTTGTGTTTTCACCTCTAAACTAAACAGTGTGCAGCTCCCATTTGAGTTTGGCATGTATCACTCAGACTGCCACCCATGAACACTTAAACATGTATGCACAGATGGGAGATGAGAGTTTGGAGTTTCTGTGTTGGATTGAATAAAGTGAGTGAGCAAACAATTTGGCAAAGCAGCTGCATCCCTATTTTAGCTGGTTTAATGTTTTTATACATTATCGAAATGTGGGAAAGTTTCTCAATTATTGGTGTTGTGAAAGTAAACACAGCCTTGTATTTCATGTCTTTTCAGACAGGTTGCTCTCGCTGATCTGACCATTATCAACAAGACAGACCTGGTGAATGAGGAGGAACTAAACCTGGTTAGAGATACTGCCAGGTCAGTATCCCATATTTTATGTTGCTCTATAGTATACTATCATCTGCCTTCTTCTTCTGCTACATTTCTATTTTTATCTATGTTTTAAGCTGCATAGATTATGAACAGTGTTACATTTGATTTAGCCTGATTATGTAGGGTCTATATAGTGGTACATGTGAGGTGTAATCTACTATTCCATTTTTTCTTCTCACTTCAGGTCTATAAATGGTCTTGTCAAGATTCTAGAAACCCAGAGATCAAGGTAGGTTCATACTTTTCCAATCAAGAACTGCCTCAGTTTGTGTGCTAAGGTTATGTAGCTTTTCTGTGGCTGGATTCCCTGGTTTGTTTAGTGTAACAGATGAACTCCACATGCAGCTGCTGCTCAGATCTTCATATCAAAGATGAAGCAGTCCAGGCGTGACATTGCTCAAGAGAAACCTCCAACACTCACACGTGTATATATACAAACACCAAACCGTCAGAGGTGTCCAGTTACCCACAAGCCTTTGCTCTTTGACCCCGGGTCTTCAAGCTGCTGAATATGTATCTATGTGCAGCTATGTGTGTGCACCCTCTGTGTTGCCACGTTGTGTGTTGTTGGACCTAGGTAGCATCTGGCTAAAACACAAGCTGTGTGTATCAAAGGTTTGAGTGGGTTTCATGTCTTCCCTCCTGCAGAGTTCAGACTAGGGTGAGCAGATGAAAGATGCTGTACAACGAGGGGTTAATCGGAAAAACATTCACACAGCTTTTTGCTTCAGCCAGTCCACTCAGTTGCACTTCATTTTAGTTTTTGCCATATTGTGGCAAAAGCTGAAATTTCTTGCTTAATTTATTTGCCCGTATTTCCCAGATGAACTTGAAATTAAACTGGAACAAACTAAAATAGTCGGTGATCTTCTTCCACAGAGTGAATCTCTCTGAAGTTCTGGATCTGCATTCCTTCGACAGTAAGGATGGAGCAAAGTGAGTGCACTTTTGTCCACCAGTTTTGCAGATATGCTGCCCTAATTTTGAATTTAAAGATTTATTTACATCTTTAAAATACAATTTCTAATATACCAAGTTTAGTAAAGACAGTAAATGCAGCATGGTAGTCAGTATCTTACTGACAAGAAACGGACTTTTAAAATATTGTCCAAACTTGATTTAAAGTAAAATGGTAAAGATATATGGCCTGATTTTCTTTTGTAGAGGTGGATGGACAGTTACCCTAAATTTTGACAGATTCATAAAAAATAAACTTCTCATTTATGTGACATACGATACATGGCAATATCAATGTGTCCATTGGCCGTACCAATGTACAGTTGCAAACTTGTTTTGTTCTGGTCAGACTAGGTACTAGTCTGTTTGAACCATGTACCCAGCAGTCTTTGATACTGTTGCTTGTTCCTCTCTAATTAACAAAGTCTTTAATGGGGCTCCCCCCATTACACCCCAGGATGATCATCTTATGGAATCCCCTGTAGAATGACATTATTATGAATAGAGTCAGTGTTCATCCCTTCATGTGAATGAAACAGGCCTCAGTGTTAAAACTCTCATACGTGCCCTCGGTCAGTGTCTTTGAGACCAGCTGCAGAGGATTAGAGCTGTGTGTGTCCACTGGCTCCCGAGGAGACCCACTTGTCCCAACAGATAGCTCCTTTCCCCCTGCCTTTGAGGGTCCAGGCCCCTCCTCCCCTTGATCCCATGCTGGCTGTTTGAAGCAGCCCCCCGCTGCTCCGCCTGTGTGGTACTAACAGCACACAGGGCTCAAGCTGCTGGACACAACATTTAGCCTCCTTGTGAGGTCAGAGAGAAGGGGGTGGCAAGGAGGTCTTATGGGGGAAAACAAGGACTATAGTTTGTTCAGGAGCGGTGGTGGGTGTTTTGTAGGATTTAATTGCCATTTCTAAAGTTTTCACAAGTCCCTTCAGAGTTGTGTTACTATGTACTGATTCAGTATGCATTGTATTATACTGTGAAGCAAAACACAAAAGAAAGAACCTGTATAGTCCATTCTTCTTCTAAGAAAGGAGAAAGAAAAGACAAAGGATGTGGATAAAGCAAGAAAAAGTATGTTTGTAACTTCCCAGGTTGGGAGCCACTGCCATAAAGACCCAAAAGCAGTCTACAACCATAAAAATAACTTGATGAGACTTGCAATTACAGATTTTTTAATATGGCAAAGCAAGAATACCCCCAGTAGAGAGCACAGCACAAAGCGATGCCATCGTTATTCCAACCGTTTTATACACACAGACCATGCATGCGGTTCCAGAAAAGTAAAATCTCAAAATATAGCTCAGTTCATCATGACACAAAGAGCAAAAACTAACAAGACAAACTGTCCAGCTTTTGATTTGAAGGTTTTATTTAAATATTTTCAAATGAACTTTGGTTTGCTACATTTAGTGAATGTAATAATGAAAATGCATTGTTATATTTTGCACCTTACTAAGTGAAAATTAGTTTTATTTTTGTAGTGAAAAAAATGACATGGTGTTTAATAACTTGTCTCATCTGAAAGTCTAGCAGAGAAGCTCCAGCTGTTGAAACCTACAACACCTCATCTTGACAAGGTATTGTGTGTGTGTGTGTTCTCTGAACTGCTTCACATGTATTCGTTCCCTGTTCCTACTCTTTATGCACCCCTCTAAGTGCTCCTTGTTTTGTTTGCTAATTTATTTTAACACATCATTTCCTTCGGGATAAAGGGAGATGCATTCCCCCAAGGCTAAAGTTGTACCTTGCATTCCCCCAGGCTGTAACACCGTAGTGAAAACTCCCTCCCTGGTTTGGTTTTTGTCTTGAGATCAACTTGAGGCTTTTGATGTTTTCTTATTACATTACAAATAGACCCAGTCTCATACATACTCAGCATCATAGATACTGGATTACTCTAGACTTCAGCAGACTGGGCACATTGTGTTGGCTAGACTGACCAGAGTCTTGACTGTGTGTTATGGCTTTGGTCTGGATCGAATCCAGATGTCCATAAAATGTTGTATACAGACCGTGTTTCACCATTTAACTATCAACTGAATGTCGGATGAATGGGGAGACCTCTATAATATGCCATTTTCTAAGAGTGAATAGTGTATCCCCAATATCCAAACATCATTCTTTGTCAGTGAATGAATTTTTAAAACTATGTACTGTAATACAGGACTAGTCTCAGGTCATTTCTCTTGATGTTTTTAATCAAGCTTTAGACCAAATGACTCCTGACACCTCATCTTGTTTCAGTTGCGCCTTATACTCATAAACTTTTATCACAGGATGAGGAGAGATGAGGGTTGTTTGTGTGGGTAAATAATGGCATTGTTGTCTGTTTTTCTCCTGGATCCCTTTCCCGCATAAAGCTCAACCATTCCTCAGAGCAGCCCCCCACCCTTCCCCAAGTCGCTCTATTCATGTAAATGAGAATGCAGTTTTTCTGTTGTTATGCCAAATGACAAGGGAGTGTGTAACCTTAACACTTCGACACCCCCTAAATATCTGGGACCCTTTTAATGCTGTAAGGAAGTACAGAGAGGAAGGTGTGTAGGGGGTCGTTGCTGGGTTTCAGGTGCTGTGTGGAGTTGAGGTTTTTGACACAGTCACTGACAAGGTCATCAGCCGGGGCGTAAAAAAACATTTCTTTTGTTTAATGTTCCTAATGGCTGTGCTAGTTTCAGCAAACTGCAAAAACATGGTAAAATGTATTTTAAATGTATAGTGTAAAACAAAAAATCTCAGGCACTTGTACAATATAACTAAGTACATGACCTGAAAATGCACAGTTAAGTACAATATAGGTACATCTGTTTATATAATATATATTATTAAAAATTAAAATACCAAACAGTATATAAAATAAAAATTGAAAACATTTGCTGACTTGTGTGGTATTGCTACTAAAAGCTGTTTATACTAATATTACTACTGCTTTAATGATTTTTATTTATTTTGTTCCTCTCACACACACAAAATCTGACATTTCTGGTATAAATGTAAAATACTTCTGTGTGGTGTTCTATGTTTCACCCTCAGAGTATTTTAACGACGTTTGAAGTGGCAGGAGATCTCTCTGAGGCTGCCTTGAATGTCTTCATCCAGGTACAGACACTCAGCATCATGTAGATCCCTGTTTCCATTTCTAATGGCTTTTACACAAATCCCTATGAAATGTGAACACCGGTTTCTCCTGTTTCAGGATCTCCTATGGGAAAAGATGTTCAGAAACAAAGAAGGACAACCCATGACTGTCATCCGGTTAAAGGTACAGCAGAGCATAACAGTCACCCCAGCAGTAGCTGTGATCAATAACAGCTGCTTCATTATCTGTATTAATCAGTTCCTAACCCTTTATTCAGTGTTGCTTAATGTGTCGCTTGTGACTTATGTGTTTTTGTGCATTTTCAGGGCATAGTATCACTTGCAGGTAAAGCCCACCAAGTAATGGTGCAGGGGGTTCATGAGCTGTACGAGCTGAATGAGACTCCACAGCTTTGGCTAGAGAACCCACGAATCAACAGGCTGGTCTTTATAGGTGAAGACGCACACATTTGTGTCACATACTCAGCTTTAAACAATTCATTCACACTACTGTGAAGGCCCCCAATCAGTTGCATTAAAAGTTTCTATTAGGTCTATGTGCTAATGTTCGCTTAATGGAGGTGTCCATTAACATTTATTGACAGCTTTAAAGTAATATTAGTAATAGTAGAAGAAGTAGTTTTCTGAGTCTGTCAAATTATTTTAAGTAACATTAAGTTCTTGGCTGTAATACTGCATCATCATTTAGGTAAAGATTTATTTTAGGGTGTCCACTTGTTCCTAAAAATATCCGAGTATATTATTTTTCATTAGATTATTTGGAAAATGAAAACAGTGTTCAGTTGAGTCTTAGACATTTCACAGCAGGTCTGATAAAAATGTGAAAGTATTTACACATACAGTACCATATCTGTGTCATTTGTGTGTGCGTGTACAGTAGCCGTGCTGTATGAATACTGACACTTGTCTCCATTCTGTTTCACAGGGAGGAACCTGGACAAGGATGTTCTGCAGGAGCAGTTCATTCCTGCAGTCATGCAGGGTGTAACGAGCCATTAGCTAGAAGCTTTTCTTTCCCCTTCACATCAAAAACTGTTGATTGTGGAGCCAAAGTCATGCTTGGCCGGACACAATCCTGGGCCTGTGTCTCACATGGGCATTCCTTATCTAGGTGTGGATGAGGTATGTCTGAGCATGGTTAAGATTACTGTAGCGCTCAATGCAGTTGTTTTAAATTATGATAATCCATCATGAACTACTGTAAAAGCTACAGTATATCAAAGAGTATTTATGTTGATGTAGCACTGGAGCTCAGTTTGATGTGATGTGCTTCTCACCCTGGAAACAAACCAGACATGACCTCTATTAAACACTCTCAGAAAAAAAAAATTCTGCACACACAAAGATGCCACAAAGGTCCAAAAATATAATCAATACTTTGGATATTTACAAAGATAGCTTGGTAAAAACAGGTGTGAGAAGTCATGAAGTGACATACTGTATCAAATGTGGTACAAGAGTGTACTTTGTAAACGAAGCTGCCTTGCCTGTGTTTGAGTTATTCAAAATAAAGTTGGTTTCCTGAATGTTAATTTGCAACTTCTTTGAAATACCTATACAAAGTAATGTTATTGTTGTAGCTGACAACAGCAGACTATTAACAGAGACAATGCGCCTTTGTGTTAGAGGTTCACTATGATAGTCAACAGTGTGAAAAGGGCCTCGAAAAGCATGTTTTAGTTTTTAATATTATGAAATGCATGTAGTTTTTTTTTTGTTTTGCATCCAGTGAACAGACTGAAGTTTTCTTTTTTAAAAAGACATTACCATTGGCTCTAATTATTGTTCACAGATATTCTGCAAACCTGTATTAAATCTGCTCAGTCTAAAGTGGATTGTTTAATGATGATTGACTTGATGTACCAGATTTATCTTTGCAATTACAGTGAAACAGATGTTCAGTTGTGTTAGGTATTTTTAGTCAGATAGAAATTGGATAGATACTTTATGTATTAGAAATGTTTAGTGGAGATAGGATGTCTAGTTAGACTGTTAAATGCTTAGTCATGCTTATGAGTTTCTACAGGGTACATCTGGTCAAGGATAACTAGAGAGAAGAGTTGATGACTGTCAGCAGACAGGATGTTTAATATTATTATTATGACGTGTATAACTGTAGCCTTAGCCAGAATATGTTCTTATGTTTAAGTCACGACATGTTACTAGAAGTCTGTGAGAATGTTTTTAGCTACACACCACTTAATCAACAGACACACACACACATTGATTTGCTTCATGTTTTGACTACTGCTATGACCAGCTGCAAAGCTGGTAACAGAGACGTCTCGGTTGACGTTTCTGTGTAGTATGGGGCTAGCCCAACCGAGGGGATATAATGTATAGGCCTGGTGGGGTCAGGGTCTTTCATCTTACATCTGCCTGCGAGCAGTTTGGAGGTGCAAGATACCTGAGCGTGTAATGTTAATTTTACCTGTGATCCTTTGAATAAATCAGCACTGTTTTGAAGTTACTTGGACTGTCTCGTCTCTCAGAGTTAGCAATGGTAACAAGAACCAAAGACCAACAGTTGTTACTGGTTGCATTGAAAAAAAACGGTGTTTTACTTGTTTCTAAATGGAAGTGTTGTCTAATAGTTTTCTTTAAAATGATTTACCCACCTCTCATCTACTGGATTTTCCAGTTATGTCACCTCATTGGCCCAGTTTCACTTAGGATCACGCGTATAACTACATTTAGATTTATTTTCAGCTGCATGTGATGGTGTTGTCTGCACCTGCAGCCTTAGTTAAGTGTGTGTTTGCCATTCAAATTTCTACTATTGGTTATTTAATACTTATTTGTACAGTCATGTGAGAACCATCTCTCACACAACAGAGCACAGTAGGGCCCAGTAAGGCGAGGAAAGGGGTGGAGTTTTCCCAACGTGGTTACTTACAATGGAGATGATTTAGGAGCTTGGTTTTAGCACATATCCGCTGTTTGACCAGTTTGCTTTGAGGATGGCTCTGCGTATTCAACCCGATCGTAAAGCCGAGCAGAGCTCTGCAGCCCCGAGCGCACCATGCGGCTGAGACGTTTCCTACTCGATTCTGATGCTGATGGCCTCCTTAAGGCGACTATTGCCTCTTTCTCTGCTGGCTGCGGGAAGCCCCATCACGGCCATATTCATGGTCACACCACCCGCGGCATCCAAAGGTGAAACGAACCCACAGGAGTCTCAAGGGGGAAGCACTTGGTTTCTTATCGCAGGTTAGGCGTGGTGTTAAAATTTCCCAGAACATCCCACCCCTGACTGTGTTGCTGTACGGCCGGTAATATCAACTAATGAAAACACCAAGATTTAGAGTTGACTTTATGTGAATTTGTCTCGGTAGCTCTGCACAGGACAGTCACAGGACAATGTCTTCATAAGTTAAAATGCTCACAATGTACAGTACATACCAACTGTAGTGGTTGTTTAAAACAACAGTAAATTTGGTATTATGTGGAGCCCACAATTATCACACATTGACTAAATACAAAGAGGTGTAATGTCAGATGTCACATTTCTGGTATTTGAATCCGTAAGATGTTCTTTCTGCTTTCTTTCTTATTTTGGAAATGTGATTTTATTTGGGGAATGGTTTGCTCTCATTTTAGCCGTTTGGCAATTGAAATAAATAACTAAAAGTTTGCCATATTAGCTTAAACAACGGCCATTTATTAACTGGTCTTTCTATGCATGAGTTGGCCCTGCACACTTCAGAATTGCCAAAGCCCCCCCTCCCCACCTGTGTGGCTTGCTTCCTCTGGCTCCCCGCAGTGAGGGGCTACTCTGATAGGTTCAGAGGGTTAATGGAACTGGCCTGCAGGGCAGCAGCTTCCCAACATATAAAGCCTCACCTCTCACAACCACAGCAAACAGCCGGTACGCATGGTTTAAGAAGAACCCGAAGGTATGCGCTTTTACGCATGAACAGGGGCCTTTTGGTTTTTACGCACGACAAGCCATTGATGCTTATTTGCTACAGTCGAGTGTTCACGTGCTTTTGAATATTCTGCGTGTGACCATGACTCTCTCCAGCAGTTTTGAAGCGTCACAACAGGCTGCTTTACCTCTACGGGAGGATGAGAATGCCACAGTGAGCGAGGATAAGCCTACCCACGGGTGTTTATATCGAAATGAGTGCTCTACGGACCCATGCTTCTCGGCAGAATCTGGTGCTGAATTGGACTCTTCAGAGCCAGACTCTTCGGGGGAAGGCGAGAACAGTTTCTGCGCAGATGCACCGCCGTCCAGGAAAGCTCAGAGCAGCTCGGTAAAGCCTCCTTACTCCTACATTGCCCTCATCACCATGGCCATCCTGCAGAGCCCACTGAAGAAGCTGACTTTGAGTGGCATTTGTGATTTTATCAGCAATAAGTTTCCCTACTACAGAGACAAGTTCCCCGCTTGGCAGAACTCCATCAGGCACAACCTTTCCCTGAACGACTGTTTCATTAAGATCCCGAGGGAGCCTGGAAACCCTGGCAAGGGTAACTACTGGTCTTTGGACCCTGCATCGGAGGACATGTTCGACAACGGCAGTTTCCTTCGGCGAAGGAAGCGATTCAAGAGAAACCAGCCTGAGTTCGGCAAAGACGGACTTGTGTTTTATTCCAGCTTAAACTACTACCGGCCGTATGGGCAACCATATTGCGTACAGGGCCAGGTAAGCCCCCCTCTTGCTGCTCCTGTCCGGTACATGTCCCTGCAGGAGGGTATTTCTTCCTGTCATCTATCACAAACCCTGAACAGTCATATGAAGAGCAGTGGGCCTAAAGACTTAAGAGCGCAGCCGTGCACAACAAAACCCGATGATCCAAGGCCTGGCCCGCAGGAAAAGTGCTCCTTCAGCATCGATAGCATCATGAGTAAATCCTCTCCCATCGGTCCACAAAACCCAACTCAACAGCAGAGCCCTCACAACGTTCTTGGATACGGACATCTCATGTCTGCCCCCCCTGCCTGTTTGGTTCCGACACTTCTGCAGGCTCCCAGGACTGTGTTTTGCTCTCCTGCCATGCTGAACACTGCTCCTTTAATAAACGAGCATCTCAGACTGTCCTACCCTCGCTGCTGAAGCCTTTGGTGTTTAGAAACTTTAGCAGCGTCTGTATGTTTGATGCTATGTGAAGACACATTAGTGGAGCTCATTTCTTAAAGGGATATTTTAATTGCATGATATTTATGTAAGTCGACATTCAAAGTAAAAAAAAAAAAAAAGTCGTGTAAATAAGATAAATGGTAATATATTTGTGAAACTTGCTGCAGTGGAAACCCTTGTTGGTGAGGGAGTTTTTGCTATTAATTAACGTGTCAAAATAAATGTGTAAAAAGTTGTCCTTACTGTTATTTTTTTATTTGGTTACCCATAACTGCAATGTGCGGTTTGTACAAAATACTTTGGGTCAGGGTGCAGTGGAGTTATAAAAGAAGGAAGAGAACAGCAGTCTGCTAAATGATAAAGTAACACGTCAAATGAATCCTTAAAGCAAAAACGTATTGTTAAGAGTTTGTACGCCTAATTAATCAGTTTCAGTTAGTGCAGATGTGTCATATTGCAGCCCCCCCATTAATATTTCACTATTATGAATATCTCCATTCAGATTATAACATGTTTTTAATTAATGTGCTTCATTTCCTTCATGCACTGACATTGTTTATATTTAGAGAGTGACAAAGAAAATAGACCGAACTCTCAGTTAAAACACCTTTTTGGAGTCGTTTGGCTGTTACGAAGCCGTAGCTGTAATAACTGAGATGAAGCATACAAACTCATTTTCCAAATAAAATAATGAAACTTGTTCACCTAAAGATGAGACGGTGTCGTCGTTACCTTTACTCGCCGAAAATCTTGATGTGTAAGAGAAGCACAGAATATGTACCTGTCGCGTCTTGATTCCTTTTCTCACAATAAATAGTATAAAGTGACATGCTGGAAGTTCGTTTACAACACAAAATCATACATATTCAGTTATTATTTATATTAAATTTAATTTGTTGTAGAATGAAACATCAGTCATTTTAAATGTATACGATAAGTTCTTTCTTCCTGCCTCAAGGGCGCACTGTTGACCAAATATTGGAGCGGACTGATGCTGAATTGTTATGATGGGGCACCCCGTGCTACAGGATTGCACGGCCATAACTGATTCATAGATTTGATTCCTTTTTGCATTTAAATGCTTTACTCAAAATATATGCAGAGAAACTGCAGATCTCAGACGAGCTGAGTCAGTCCCACAGCTGCCTGTGCCTTCTGGGCAGCACAGACACAGCCAGTGTCCGGTTGCAGACCGGGCTCGACACAATTCAGTCAAAGGTCTATTTTTGGCCCGAGGCTCAGCTGATTGTGGGCCTTGAAGATTCTGGCCCTCCCTCATTTTTTTCTTGTAGCCCAGTCAGTTGTTCAGGCTTATTAGGAGAAGAGGGAGTTGTCTAACAGCAGAGGAGAGTTTGCTGAACGTTAAGTTTAGAACTGAGGGATGCAGCTCTCTTGGGTTTAACACAAGTGAGAACATTTTTGATTGGGTGTTTGTTTCTTATAGCCGACACATCCGTGCGTGGGACAGCAGTCACCACTTTCCTCCTCCGCTGCACAGAACAATAATTTTACTTTATACACTTGGAACATTACGCAACTCCACGACTGCTTTTACTCTGTTGGTACCACCGGCAGCCAATTCCACATCCAGTTTGAGGTTGTTTGAGCTGCGTCCTCACGTTGGGTCCAGCCGAGGAGGATGGAGGGGAGCCCCATCCCGGTGGTGACGGTCCAAACCGCCCCCTTCGACGACCAGCGGCCCGGTACCAACGGGCTGCGGAGGAAGACCGCGGTGTTCGAGGGGAGGAAGAACTACCTGCAGAACTACATCCAGAGCCTGTTGTCCTCCATCGACCTGCGCGACCGACAGGGCTGCACTATGGTGGTGGGCAGCGACGGCCGCTACTTCAGTCGAGCTGCCATCGAGGTGATAGTGCAGATGGCAGCTGCGAATGGGGTAAGAAGGGAGGGGGTGACATTCAGAGACTTTAGGAACTTTTGTTTCTTTTACTAACTTTTACTAAGTTAAACTCTTTATTTCATATTTATGTAAAACGAATCTTTAATGTTCAGAGGTCTATGAATAAGTTGTTATTATAATTTCAAATTATGATTTAAAAGGTTAAGTGTGCAAAGAATAATTCTGAACGTTTTTTACCCATAGTTTGGATCCAGGGTGCAGCCAAGTGGTTCCTAACCTCATGGGCACAACATCCTAAAAGGCACAAACATACTTCCAGGAAATTAGAAAAACAAATCTCCAGTGCACATTTTTCTACTTTAAAACTTTTATAATTAAGTAAATGTACAGGTGTAACGTTTAAGGCTGATTTTGAGAATGAAAGCATGAGAAGAGGACCTTTGCATTAAGGGGTCTCAAGCCAAAAAGGTTGGGAAACACTAGCTTATGCAAGATACAGTGATAAGATGACTTACAGTATGCATCTCCTCGTCCAAACTGAAACTTTATAGCTTCAGACTGGGTGACAGAAATGATTTGTGGTATTAGAACATGCAAAGCTGTCACCCATCCAACCTTAGAGGTTGAGATAAATGACAGTAGGAAGACAAAGTGAGAGACAGAGAGAAGAGGAAACTCCCCACAGCTTATTTGAAATGCTTGCTCTGAAATCTTTGTGATTGTTTTGGCCACGTTCCAAAGGAAAATCTGAAGGGAATAATTTGATTTTGAGATTAGTCAATTTTTCTGCTGCGCCAGCCAAATGTCTCTTGATGTCGGCCTTATCAGCACTTGCATCCATCCTGCTGTATTTTCCTGCCTAAGTATGTCCCAGCCTCCCCCCAACCCAGTTCAGTCTTCAATCTCTTCCTGACAAAAATGGATACCTTGGGGATCCCTAGTCAAATGGCATTAGAGTTCCACATTGGGGATCCCTAGTCAAATGGCATTAGGAAATAGCATGGAAAATAGTGCACATAACCCACCTAATATGTGGACTTTTCTTCTTACACTGAGTGCTGAATAAAATATAAACACAGAGGGAAATAGGCAAGAGCTTTATTACACATAATACTGTGCAGACTAAATGCATTTTGGCAAGTGTGTTTCTTAGTTCTTTATATGCAACATGCCGGATATTACGAGGATATACACTGGCGTCAGGAGAATAAATTCCTTTCTAGTGAGGATACTCCTATTTAAAATAGCTGATATACAGGGGAACTATGAGAGGTGTTGGGCCGCGCCGGCCGCTACTTCAGTCGAGCTGCCATCGAGGTGATAGTGCAGATGGCAGCTGCGAATGGGGTAAGAAGGGAGGGGGTGACATTCAGAGACTTTAGGAACTTTTGTTTCTTTTACTAACTTTTACTAAGTTAAACTCTTTATTTCATATTTATGTAAAACGAATCTTTAATGTTCAGAGGTCTATGAATAAGTTGTTATTATAATTTCAAATTATGATTTAAAAGGTTAAGTGTGCAAAGAATAATTCTGAACGTTTTTTACCCATAGTTTGGATCCAGGGTGCAGCCAAGTGGTTCCTAACCTCATGGGCACAACATCCTAAAAGGCACAAACATACTTCCAGGAAATTAGAAAAACAAATCTCCAGTGCACATTTTTCTACTTTAAAACTTTTATAATTAAGTAAATGTACAGGTGTAACGTTTAAGGCTGATTTTGAGAATGAAAGCATGAGAAGAGGACCTTTGCATTAAGGGGTCTCAAGCCAAAAAGGTTGGGAAACACTAGCTTATGCAAGATACAGTGATAAGATGACTTACAGTATGCATCTCCTCGTCCAAACTGAAACTTTATAGCTTCAGACTGGGTGACAGAAATGATTTGTGGTATTAGAACATGCAAAGCTGTCACCCATCCAACCTTAGAGGTTGAGATAAATGACAGTAGGAAGACAAAGTGAGAGACAGAGAGAAGAGGAAACTCCCCACAGCTTATTTGAAATGCTTGCTCTGAAATCTTTGTGATTGTTTTGGCCACGTTCCAAAGGAAAATCTGAAGGGAATAATTTGATTTTGAGATTAGTCAATTTTTCTGCTGCGCCAGCCAAATGTCTCTTGATGTCGGCCTTATCAGCACTTGCATCCATCCTGCTGTATTTTCCTGCCTAAGTATGTCCCAGCCTCCCCCCAACCCAGTTCAGTCTTCAATCTCTTCCTGACAAAAATGGATACCTTGGGGATCCCTAGTCAAATGGCATTAGAGCTCCACATGGAAAATAGTGCACATAACCCACCTAATATGTGGACTTTTCTTCTTACACTGAGTGCTGAATAAAATATAAACACAGAGGGAAATAGGCAAGAGCTTTATTACACATAATACTGTGCAGACTAAATGCATTTTGGCAAGTGTGTTTCTTAGTTCTTTATATGCAACATGCCGGATATTACGAGGATATACACTGGCGTCAGGAGAATAAATTCCTTTCTAGTGAGGATACTCCTATTTAAAATAGCTGATATACAGGGGAACTATGAGATGCTGGTGGTATTACCACTTTAAAAGCAGCATACAAATTATAAATAGAGAGTACAGCTCTGTTATTTAGGCACCTTCTGTCACAGCCAGCTCAAGAAATGCTATCTGATATTATTTTTTTCTACTTCACTGTCCCATAGATGCAAACTTTTTTGCATAGTAATTTTCTGCAAAGCCTTTTTTCATATTTACTCAGCATTTGGGAAACAGCTATGGCAGCTACAAAAGGGAGAGAGCCATAAATGTTCAACTTATGAAACAAATGTAGCATATCAGAAAGCATTTGGCATAAAGGTGACATTCTGGAATGATGTGTACCTGACAGCAGTCCTTACTAAAATCTTTTCTGTGCAGATTGGTCGTCTGGTAATTGGCCACAATGGTCTCCTGTCCACCCCTGCTGTTTCCTGCATCATCAGGAAGATCAAGGCCATTGGCGGGATCATCCTCACAGCTAGTCACAACCCCGGCGGCCCTGGTGGAGACTTTGGAATCAAGTTCAATGTGGCCAATGGAGGTGAGTACTCTGAAAGGATGTTTTTTCTAGAATGCTTGAAGTTTGATGACCACCTGTAAAGTCAAGGATGTTTTTATAGAGAAAAATGATCAATGCTGTGTTAGTTAAGTTTATAAATGTTAATGTATGTTTTTATTTTGCTGGCAGGCCCGTCTTCAGACACAGTGATGGAGAGGATCTACCAGGTGAGCCGGACGCTTGAGGAGTATGCTATTTGCCCCGATCTTCGCATTGACCTCTCAAGGCTTGGAAGACAAGAGTTTGACCTAGAGAACAAGTTCAAACCTTTCAGAGGTATAGCACGCACTCAGATAAGTCATCCATGCTGGGTCAGAATCATTCAACATCATTTGACCTGGCGTGGGCCAGACTAGAAATCAACACTATTACAAATGAGGATGAATAGTGGCTTACACTTAGGAGCAACTTTAGAAGTAAACGTCTGATCCATAATGCAGACACCTAGATGTATGTGATGGAAGTGGTACTTTGCCTAACCCTTCTTTTTTTAACACGCAAGTGCATACAAACTAATTGCCATCCAATAGTAATCGTGTCTTCTCTTTTCATGGTTTCAGTTGAGATCATAGACTCAGTGGAGGTGTATCTACAACTGCTGCGAACTATCTTTGACTTTAATGCCATTAAAAGTCTCCTCACAGGACCAGATCAGTTAAAGCTGCACATAGATGCCATGAATGGAGGTGAGACAGTTCCTCATCCCCTGAACCATTGTTAATGCTTACTACGGTTATTCTGTTAACTTCTATTCTGTTTTCTTCTCATGTTACAGTCATGGGCCCCTATGTACGCAGAATTCTGTGTGATGAGTTGGGGGCCCCTGCTAATTCTGCTGTCAACTGTGTCCCTCTGGAGGACTTTGGTGGTCGACCTCCTGAGCCAAACCTGACATATGCCACCTCTCTGGTAGATGCCATGAAAGGAGGCGACTTTGGCTTTGGAGCGGCATTTGATGCAGATGGGGTAAGAAATGCTGCTGGATGCTTGAAAGTGTTCGTCAAAGCATGTTTAAACATTTATACATAATCAAATTAATGATGTGATAACACTGGATAATATAATACTTATTTTCACACATTTTGGCAATGTTTATATCTTACCACAAATATGAATATATAAAGTAGATACTGTAGTGCTGTATCTCCTCCTGTCACCTGTCTTTCCAGACTGTCACATGATCTTTCTCTAGTTGTCAGCCCTACTTACAGAAGTCACTAGCTAGGGCGAGCATTAACAGTCACTAATACACAATTAAATGTGCCAAATGTGGAACCCTCTTCCAGGATGAATGTGTACGGAACAGACCACATAGTGGAATTACAGTATGTCCGGTCAGAATGGCAAAATTTTAGATTATGAATGAAAATCCCCTTGTTTTGAACCAAACAAAAATAATAATGTTGATGGTGGACAGTTTAGCCTGTTGAGAAAACTGCAAACTATGTGGAGGCTGGAAGAGGTTTTTGTGTCTAAAAATTAACATGGTCAGGATTTATTATTGTTGTTCTTACATATTGTGGGATAACCTGGATTATGCTAAGCCACTCAGCAAAATGTTCATTAACTCATATAAAATCAGAGTTTTTTAACTGATACAGACCAGTTTAAACTCCACCCATAGATACCAGAGAGAGCCTTATTTATATTTATTAGTTTTTGTTTACTCGTTGAGATGAGGGAGACAGGCAGTGGGGACTGAATAATACCGTAACCATGATTATCCAACATGAAGATCACTTTTTCCACAATGTCATCCAGTAGTCATTTCTGCTGTATACACACACATACACATCCTTTGTTAAGTAAATTAGCTCAACATTAGGAAAATTACATCATATCTGCCCTGTTTCTCCTATGAGGACCGGACGGGTATCTTCACAGTCATTAGCACCAGTGGGTGAATGTTTCTTTTGGGGAGTTGCTGTTACATAATACTGTAAATGATATCTTTCAAAAACTCTCAACTGTAATTGTTGGCAAGAAAGTACTGAGCAATTCACAGTTATTTGTGGCTCATGCTGTTGGTGAAGAAATTTGCACTCAGTGTCTTTCGGTGGCTGTACGTAACACAGATTCTTCTACCATCAGTTAATACAGTAGCACATTCTAATTGTTCTTATGTTCAGTAAACCCAATGAAAAGACCAAACCAGCAATGTGTTAGTCCACCTGTTCCTACTAACAAATCTTAATCTTTAAAATGTTTTTTAAAGGCTACCTATACTAGCTATACATTTTAAATCTATTTTACTTATTACTATTAGAGTTCCCTTACAACTAATAACTAATTACATGAAACTCACAATGTGTTGTATGATGTTGTGCTGTCATCAGGACCGGTACATGATCCTTGGAGAAAACGGCTTCTTTGTGAATCCAGCGGACTCGGTGGCCATCATGGCTGCCAACCTCTCCACCATCCCCTACTTTAGACAGCATGGCGTCAAAGGATTTGCGAGGAGCATGCCCACCAGCACTGCCCTCGACAGGTACAACACACACATACACACTCATAAACTCAGTAGATCTAAGTGGTCTTGTCCCAGCACCCTCGGCCTCTCCCTGAAAAACCCCTGCAAACGCCCAATCTCTAGAGAGGGAGGACACTCAGATAAAAATCACCAATGATGAATAAGACTGTGAAATCACATACACATCTCCCACACATTTATTCACTGTCTATAAACATTGTCCATTATGTAAGACTATAGAGCAGAGCTACGAGTGCTGAGTGAGAGGATGTGATCATCCCCATTAGCATTGTTTCACGAGGAGGGATCCCAGCTCTGCGCTCCACCGAGATTTCATCATGTCATTAAATACAATGACGGAACCAGGAAAGATCAAGATTATGAATATGTTTATTTTCAACAAAGTACTGGACTCACCAGTCATTTCACTGTTTGTGCAATTTTAGTTTTTTCCTTATAATATCTCTCAATTAAACTTATTCTAAACCTAAAGTGAACCTATTTTAATTTTTTTTTATCATTTGTGAACAATTAGACCTCATTGAAGTGCACAAATTTCCAGTCAGTGTTTAATCACTCTTTGGCAAGGACTTGCATTTTTCTGGTTACACTGGGCCTTTAGAGGCACTTAAACTGGTACAAAGGTAGTGAATGGTTGATAATCTTTAAAGAATAACACACAAGAGTGAAATAAAAGTAATATGAGGCAGAAAACCCCTTTCAGTATCAAGATATCTTTAAAAAATAACCCTCAAGAGTGAAATTAATGTGCTGTAATATGAGGCCCTTTCTGACCCCCTACTGGTCATTTTCTATTGTCTGAAGAATGTAGAAGGTTGTGTGTAAGAGTGTGTGGTTGTCTGCGTCTACAGATGCGTGTTTGCAATCAGATGCATCAAAGTGTCTCTTGCATGTACCTATGCCTTGCATTATCAGAGTACATTTTGGGGAAAATATTGATGTTTTCTTGAGCATATCAGTCAGAATATTTACATTGTACATGAAATTCCAACTTGATTTAATTTTTGATTAAGTAATATTGATGGTCTTGGATTTCAGAACTTTTGTTTTTGAACATATCAAAGTAACCTTGATCCTTGCCAGTGAGAGGCGGTCACATTGTCTCCTTGCTTTCTTATTACCACTGACACCACAATATAACTATCCACCACTTTAACCACCACTTAGGAACATTTTCCTCTGTTACTATTGAACACTGCCAGGAAACATACTGTACAATGTACTGCTAATCCATAATAGCTGAATGTGAACTGGATTTATAGGATGTCATATATTATAAGTGCCTGTGTGACAGTTTGGTGCACATACTTAAATGTGTGTGCGCATGACTGAGTGTGTGTGTGTTTTAGCACTGGCAGGCATTAAGGAAATGACCTCACTGCCAACCCCGGTCTCTTTGGGTTTCACAGTCTGAAGGGAAAAGTGGTGTTTAGTAATGTGAAATGGGATGTTCCATCACAGAAATACTGGTTGTCTTTGTTAGTGTAGCTGCGTTAGCATATGCACACACACATCCCTCAGACACTGGCATATGGGGTTGCACTGCTTCTTGCCCAGGGTTGTGTCTTATGATGTACCACTATGATCACATGGACAGTGCTGCTTCAAATTTTGAAAGTGATTGAAATCTGATACAATAAATGTCACATGCCCCACTACAACCCTGAGCCATGGACCTCTCATACAGCACACACAGACTTGCTTTCTATACGTAAAATGGCCTTTTCATTAGTTACTTTTAGGATATATCATCTGTATCTCCCCTAATTTATTTTCACAACTTTTTTTTGTATTGATGATAGCACATATTTAATTTCCTGGAACCTCTGACTTGGTTGTGCAGTCTGCTTTGAACAAGTATCAGCTTACGGTGTGATGTCTTTCACTGATAATTTCTAAACTACAGATAAAATCCTGCTCAAGGTTTTCTTAAGAGCTTTGACAGAAGTAAATTGCTTTATGTTGTATTTTCATTTTTTTCCTGTTTAAGCCAAATTTCATCAACATACTCTATGCTCTTCTGTGAGCACTGATAATTACTGTCATTGTTGCAGGAGAGGGTCACTTTGTTGAACTTTTCATAACTGTCACTTAAGATCTATTGCTGACTCTGCCCGTGTCATGTACACAGCCGCAAACTCCAGGAAGTGTTACTTAGTACTTAGTAGTGAGGTGTTGGATCCTGGAGTCAATCCACCTTTAGGCCTTTTTAGGAGAGTGAGTGGCGTGTGTGTGTGTGTGTGTGTGTGTGTGTGTGTGTGTGTGTGTGCAGAGTGTTTATACTGAGCAACCCTCCCTGCTCTGTGTTTATACATAGTCACACCAACTGTGCTATAAAGGTCTTGATAAATGTGTATACTGTATGTGTGTCTCCAGAGGGAATAAGGGAAAACGAAGAAGAGAAACAGGGACTGTATTTGTGTTCAGATGAGCAGAGGATGTCATGTTGTGTAGGAAATGTACAGGAGTTATAAGAGTTAATGTTTTCATTCTATTATTGATAGAACTTTGGAAAAGCCCAGAAAACTGCAGGTAACAGCTGTGATGGTTTACACAAATCATCTCAACTTTAATTGAAATGTCTTATTTTCAAGTATTTTTTTAGTTTTGGTCATTATGGCAACATCTTTAATGCATTACATTTCTTTGTTGTCCAGTGAGGAGTCCTGGTTCAGGGCAAGAAGAACTCATGTTTCAAGCCCAAGTAAATCTCCAGCATGCTGCGCTTTTTGTTTAAATGCCAGTCTAAAGCTTTTAAATCCAGGCTGAGCTCTTTTCAGAGGGAAAGGTGAGAAGGGTGGGCACTGGATGCTATGTTTGCTAAAACATCAAACCAAGGCCAAAAGCTGGAAATATTTCACTCTGCAGATGTAAAGAATCCTAATTTGTCTCTGTGTTTCTTAGTGTTATCTGATGCACAAGACGGATAGAGGCAGGAAATCAGGGGAGTTAGTGGTTGATTTGTGAGTTAATGCATGTGTCCGTTGTCTGTAAGTGTGTGTGCATCAGTTTATACGTACCTTTGATTTAAGTGGATGAGGATGATGTAAGGTGGACCTAGCTGAGCACAGTTATTAAATCTCAGTCAACTCTTTGTCATATGGGATCAAAGCATCCAACACATTCAGAAGATGGACCTTATCCAACACTCTTAGATTTCATTTCATCTTACCAAAAAGATACGTTACAGCAAATCTTTTTGCACCATCAAAGCTGTGGCAGCTCCAGAATAAAACTTGAATTTTGTGCCTTTGTATATGATAAAAGAACTTCATAACACATACACTTGTTACCCAAATTCTGTCCTAATGTGAGAAAATGGTCATTGCTAGAGTGTAGAACTACATTTGATGAGTTACACCTACAAAGATTACAGCCCTAAATTGAAACCTTCCAAGTTCATTCCTCATGTCTCCAGCCATACTCCTCAGCCAACATTTTTCTTTTATTGGCAAAGTCTGCAGAAAGAGGGAGAGAGGCAGCATCCACCAAGCTTGCCGGGCCTGAGAAAATCTCTTGTGTCTGTTTAAATGCACTTGTAATTATACTTGTATAGATGCTTTCACAGTTTATGCTCAGGAAGCATCTAACAGTGCTTCTAAAACCAGAAAAGGTTTTACTTTTTGACTATTATTTTTATTTTTTGTTTTAAGAATGTGTAAGTGTAGGAAAGACTGTGCTGAATGTATTTGTGCTTTTTTTTTTCCTGAGCCTGTGTCTGTGTATACAGTATATGGCAACGTGTCTGTGTTCCACAGCAGATTTTATGCTGATGTTAAGTTAAAGCTGAGCCGGTTATGATCATCAGCTTGATGAAACATTATTTTCTCTATTCTATTCTATTCTATTCTATTAACAACAACCTATTTCTGACATTTATGCAGTGTTGTCTGAAAACTGCCTAGGGTCAGTTTCAGTGTCCATGTTGGCCATGGAAGCCCATCAGAAGACCAGAGTCTCTGCTTTCATGCTTTTCATTCCCACTCACACTTCCCTGGAGGGGTACAGCTGGTTTACTCTTTTTGGTAATTTATCCCAACCTCATGTAAACAACTGTGCTGGGCACTGTGTGGAGTTTATTTATGTCCATGATGATACATGTGTATACCGCCATCTAAAAACCCTGAAATCCCCTCACACCCACATTGTACTGCACATTCCCGTAGCATTGCACAATAAAAGCATTTGAGATTTCTACATGTTTGTTTCTTTGAGAACAACATTTTTTTTCATCCAGCAGTTCTTAGCTGAGTTCTGGGAATTGTGTTTACATTTTTGTGTTTTCATGTTTCTGTTGCTAAGGAGGTGTGGATGGTCAAAGAGTGATTTGTGGGGAACGGGAAGGACACTGGATAACTAAACATTTCCGCAAACAGGACTGAATATACAATGTCAAAGTCCCATTTGTTCCAAAAGCACAGAGTTAAATGTGGTAATTGAAACATGTTGCTTTCTTTATTTGTTTCTAATCTAACTGGTATCTAATAATCTATTGTACCCTAACTTTTGAGAACTTTTTGTAAGAACTCAACAGTTACAGCTCCTGTGGTCAAGAATTTATAAATGCTGTGGCCATGAATCCAAGGTTAAGCTTATAAATTAGGTAAATTTGCATTAACCGATTAACTGCTTAGGAGCAATGTGGGACCTGGCCTGGAGCTTGGGTGCATGGCCTGGTTGAACTGGCTGCCCCAATGCTTGGCATGCCTAGATCTGGAATGTGAGTTGCTTGAGACAGGAAATGAAGTGAACCATGACACATAAACACGTTTCAGCCCTTCACTGTAGTCGATGTGGGGCAAAGACAAGTAAAAAGAAGGGATGGGACTTTGGTTTTTGTCAGTGCTGATATCTGATTATTTTATTTGCTGTTGATTTTATTATTTAACATTAGGTCATTTGTATTTTTCTCATATGCCAACCCTTTTCTAAAAATGCACTGTTTTGTAATCATGTTACTATCCAGCCAGTTATTTTTCTGCAAATTTGCACTGAAAGGTTTTATTTAAGACTTTGTTTCTGCTCTTTATGCACCGTGCCCTCCCCTTATGCAGACCTTTATCCCTCCCCAGCACCCTAGCATATACAGTACATGCATTCATGTACATACACACACATACACACTGCCTTTCGTCCTCTCACTATGCAAGTACATGGCTCAGGTTCAAATCAAACATCAGCTAAAAGGTTAACTTTGTTCTCGCTGCCTTTGCCTTATTAAGTTATCGGATGAGCTGTTAGCAGATTATGCCTGTCATACAGCATTCGGTTTGCTTTATTTCAAAGGTCAGAGGATTGTTGTTAAGCTTATGTCTGTATCAGCACTGGGAAAAGGTTGTTGTTTGAAATTCATGAGAGATAAATATAGTGTGTGTTTGTGAGCATGAAGCTTTGTTTCTGTTTCTCTCTGTTTGTAGGGTAGCCAAAGCCATGAAACTGGCGCTGTATGAGACCCCCACAGGTTGGAGGTACTTTGGAAACCTGATGGATTCTGGCCGTTGTTCCCTCTGTGGGGAGGAGAGCTTTGGGACAGGTATGCTCTATTTCACTCACAATCCGACAACAAAACCCTCGACCCATAAAGACAGATTTGTGCAAGTTAAATGACAGGGCAGCAGTAGCCTGTTTGCATGTGAGTAGAAGGTCACTGACTGAAACCCCATGGACTGGCTTGGAAAATGTGAGTGGGTGTGAGACTGAGAAATCCCCTCCCCTCAACAGCAACTGTTGATGTGCCTGCAAATAAGACTATCACTAGAGGACTGCAGTAGCCAGCTGCTCTAAATGTAAATATGTAGCAGGGACTTGCTGAAACACAAAACAGCAAGTGTGCTCAGTCAAATCTTCATCAAATAAAGGGAAGGTGCTTTTTTTTAAAACCACTTGGGTTTTATTTTTGAAATTTCTTCTATCTATATAAGTCAAAGTTGATCCAGGAAGTCATCCTGTAAGCTGTGATGAAGTTTTACAATGAATTCCTTGTGTAATAATTCTAATAATTTAACAGTTTGCTTTTGTTTTTTCCTCAGGATAGGTTTGAGTAGCCTGAGGTTTCCCCTTCTTTTTAACAATTCTGCCAGTCTCAGCAATTAACATGACCAAACAAGACCATGATGATGAGTAAAATGACTTAAATAAAATTCAGGGGTTTATGAAATTATTACTTACGTTTAAAGATGAATTTTTTATTTTTATTTTTTATTTTTACAATTTTTCTATTTCCTTCTTAAACATAGGCTCAACAGCCTGCTCCAGGTCTAGAGTTGTAAGCAGTGCATCCTGGCTGCTAGTAGCTCCCGTCAGAGTCATGTAATAGATGTGAGCGCTGTGACCCTGACTGCATGTGTAAATAATCCCCATTCTTCTGCTATAAAAGGAGACAGGGGCTCCCTGAATCACTGCACCATGCTGACTGGCCTCCCGTGGCAGTTTTTCACATGCAAACTCAGACACATGGAATCATACATGGTACATACACGCACATGGTCAGAAAATATAAACAATGAGCTTGCACAAATGATACACATACAATACATTAGCTCTTGCCCTATACATCTATTTGTCCTGCTACTGCCTGTCTCTCCATTTTCCTATCCATCTTGTCAGTGCTCAATGTTTAGTTTTTATTTGTTTCCTTTCAAAAAACTTTCTTCTCCTCATCTGAATGAACCATAATCTTTGTTGGGGAGAGGTTCTTTGACTTTTGTGAAAGAGGAAATAAGGATGAAAAACTGAGAAGAAAAATGTCAGTGGATGTGAACAGGAGAGAAGACAAGAGAAGCCTGTAGGAAAGAAAGGAGCCAGAGGTGGGAGAGTCTATTGACGAAGAGGAGGGAAAAGGAAGGAGCAGAGACTCAGAGAGCACAGAGGACTATGGGAGTGCCCCTGTTGTCTAGCCATGTAAGGCCAAAAGCTCAGAGAGAACCCTGAGCAATAAATCATCAGAGCTGTACACCACTCCTGCTCTTTACTAACCCTCTGACACACTTGCTCAGACACACTGTTGCCAGTTCTGTCAAACTTAGCTGTAATTTTCTTATTATTGTTGCTTTGATTATATTCCATTTGTTTGCACATAAATAACCTCAGAAGTTAAAAGTCAATAAAGACAACACAGTTTAATGCCATCTTAAAAAAACAGTAGTTATCAACGTATAAAGAACAAATTCTGAGGTATATTCTGCTTATCTTTGAGTGTTTATGAATGAATCAGTGTCTCCCACAACATTGGTATATTTATAGCACTGACTTTAGGACTTCCTTGTTCTGTCGTTAAGCTGTTAAAAAGGTCTAACAGCATTAACAGGTTAGAGTGAAGCTGAAGCCGGTTGTGCTTTGGCCATGATAATTACACCCCTATGTTCTGCTGTCTGTCTCCTTCTGTGTCAGAGAGCGAGACAAAGAGAGACAGACAGTGAGACAGAGGATTAAACGGGGACAACTGTCAGTTTCCTAACAGCTGTATAGATCTGGACACAGAGCTGTAGGAAGTGCACTCCTTGTTTTCAGTGTTCAGCGGTGAAGACAGTTGTATAGATTCATGTATATTATAAAAGAGATAACATTTTCATGTTTTTCTTATAAAATATATGTAGATGTCACTTGTATCACTTAGTCCATGTTTCTGCTTCAATCTCTTGCAGGGAAACATTACTAACATTTTCAACCTTGTTAAAATGTCAGAGTATTCCCTTCACAGATAACTTTCCTGTGCAGCTGTCTTTGAGAACAGACTGATAGCTCCCCACTGAAGGAGAATATGGGTCTGAGCTTCGCTTTGTGTGTGTACATGTGTGTGTGTTTAACAGTAAGGAGAGGGACACATTATTTATGGGGCGATGTTTGGTATGTCTCCAAGCCCAAGCAGTCCCCCTGACCTTCTGTTACATACAGTGGAGTTGAATACCAAGGCAAAGCTACCTTTTACATTTGCTTGTTTATAATTGTGGAGCAATACATCGCTGTGTGAACAAAACATATTAAGAATTGAAGCCTGTTTTTGGAGGGTTCAGAAGAAACGTTGCAGCTCCAGTTTTGTGGCTCTTCTTTGACTTTTTGGAGAATTTACTTGTACATTTTCTTGTAGAGAGTTAGGTTATAAGATTGAAACCACCCTCATAGCTGTCTGCTAAGCATGGAGCCTGAGCCAGGAAACAGTTAGCTTAGCTTAGCATAAAGTCAGGCTTGTTTCTTCTTCCCCTTGTTTTGAGATCTTATGCTTACCTAAGGTAATGGCATGCCAAGCCCTTTCTTGTGATTCTTATTGGATGTCTCACATGACACCAAAGTTAAAGTAGTAGAGTTACTGTAGGTCGAGCTTCTGCAGTATGTTATCTTTCATCACCTCAGTTAAGTTCCAAGGAATGATTCTCAAGAGTTGTGATGTTCTGGGGGTTTTCTGTCTCCTCTAGGTTCTGACCACATTCGTGAGAAGGATGGTCTGTGGTCAGTGTTGGTGTGGTTATCCATCATGGCGGCCAAGAAGCAAGGTGTGGAGCAGATTGTCAGAGAACACTGGGCCAAGTTTGGACGCAACTACTTCTGCAGGTAACCAGCTAAGCAACCTCTCTGAATGATACTGCAACAGATCCATTCAGCTGTCTCATACATGCGTGTGTAAAATGATCCAGCTGCTTCTGTCCCAGTTTTTGTTTTATCATGGCACTTTTTGTGTTGGAGTGATTGCAGGTTGAATTCATTTAACTCTACAGTGCTCCTTGAGACTCACTGGAGTGATAAGTCTCTGTTCCTGCCAAAGCCAAATATGCCTCTCAGGCCTTCACCTTCATCCATTTCTCCTCCGAACCTCCTCAGTGGCTATCACATGTTCTTATTTTAACTTCTCCCCTGTGAGAGGCTGAGATAGTTACTGCAGTCACTGTTCCCACTGACAGTTGCTGCTGCTTTTAATGTTCCCACAGAGAGCTTTTCTAAGCTGATGTACTGTACAGTACATTTCCCACAACACATAGATGGTGAGGACATACAGGACAAGCCAAGGACCAGATGCTAAAAAAGTCTGTAAAACACAAACATCTCTAAACTATCAAAAACAGTCAATAAACCAAACTAAGGTTCTCTCATTTTTAAGTACTACCATCATACCACCAGTGACTTCTAGTTATTAATAAGAACATTAAATCAACTTGAAAGTGTTTAAAGAAAAACCTGAAAATTTTCTTGAAGTAGTAAAAGTGTAAGGTGCCAAAAAACAAGGCTTTAAAAATGTGTTTATCTCTGACAAAACCTTTCCTGTTGCTGTTTTGTCATGTTAAAGTTAGCCATGCTTTCATTGCCAATATGTGTATTGTATGGATTTAAGTTTCCAATTAGAGGTTTAAATGCTTTTTTGTGTGTCTTGTAATTGTCAGGTTTGACTATGAAGGCCTGGACCCACGCGCAGCCTTTTACCTGATGAGGGATCTGGACGCAGTAATTTCAGACAAAGCATTCACCAGCCAGAAGTTTGCTGTAGGAGACCACATATACAGCGTGGAGAGGGCCGACAGCTTCGAGTACATCGACCCAGTGGATGGAACGGTGGCCCGAAACCAGGTTAGTCCAGAAAAAACATGGAGAAGGACTGTACAGTTGTAAATGCAGGATGTTACATGGCAGAATTAAATGAATAGAAGTGAGTAGGGAGGACAGAAAGTAATACAGTATTTCCATAATGGTCATTTTGAACATTTGAGGAGGGACTGTGGAATGTTTGGCAAAGACTTTTACTGAGTGATTTCTTGCTGCTTAAATTTTGTCTAGCAGGGAATTTACCTAGCTTACTCAAATGTAGGTAACATTGCCACCTAGGTTAGAATTTAAACCTATGCTGTCTGTTTTTAAACATCTAGTGAGGAATAGAGAATTCTAAATGAGCATTTGGTTCTTATTTGTATGTCTCAGTACGCACATACTTCTGTTGGGCTGTACTTTCTTCCCTTTAGAGACGTTTTTCACCATGTGTATGTGTGATGCAAGGGCGGCGTTCATTGGAAGCTATCATTAAGTTCTGTGTTCCAAATACTGTATAACACTCATGGTAACATTCAACTGATAATTTACCACTGGAAATTTGATAACAGCATACTGTTATTTTAAGGCAGATATGTCAAGTCAGTTTTTATTTGTATAGCCTAATATCACAGATAACAAATTTGCCTCAGGGGGCTTTACCATTTGTACAGCATGATACAACCTTTGACCTTATATCCTCAAATTGGATAAGGAAAAACTGTGCCCCCTATCCAAAAAATATTAATGGTGGAAAAAAATGGAAGAAATCTCATGAAGGGCAACAGAGGAAAGATCCCACTTCCAGGATGGACATACGTGCAACAGATGCTGTGTGTACAAAATAAATCAACATAATAGATTTACAGTACAGACAATCAGAATGACAAAGATTGTATAATATAAACATATATGAAGAAACTTTATAAATAAATATTAAGAACATGATCCAAGAGGACAAGTCAACTTCCAGGTGCCTCCAACAGACTCAAGCCACACAAAGACCCAGTAGGAGGACAGACTATGCAACCACATGAGAGGCAAAACCCAAGCACACCATTAATACATATAGGAGAAAGAAACAAATACATCAAAGAGAGATAAAAGGACAAGGGAATAAACAGGAAATTAACAAAATGAGGCGGAGAGGGACAACTATGAGGCTGGGACTGGGACGGCCGACGGTCCAGTGCAGAGAATTTGCATGAGAAAGGGTGCGAGGCACACAGCTTGGACACTCATGTGATCTAGGCAACAAACAAAAGGGTAGAGAGATGCAGTGGTTCTCAGAAAGTCTTCAGGACAACATAGACTATAGATACAGTGAAACTGAAACTCACCAAAGGGAGAAGAGTAGCAAATACAAGGGAAGAAGTAATCATAACTGAATATGCAAACTAATAATAATGGGAAATTATAGTACAGAAATTCCAAAGCTATGATTTGAAACACTTCACCTATAGTTTGCCCAACAGAGGCTACTGATAAGTTGATTTTTCAACTGAAAGATCACCCTCACCTGAAAATGAGGTGGAATTAACGTCAACAAATAAATACTCTATTAATCTAGATTGCAATTAATCTTCAATTGATCTGGACAACAAAGTGTGATCCGAGAGCCAGTTCACAACAGGTCAGGTCTGCCTGAGCATGTCTTGCATACACAATTTCTTCATCTTTCTCTCTTTCATACAGACACACACATTCATTCATCAGTCTCTTGTGAGTCAGACCACCCACCGAGCCTCAGTGTTATCTCATTACAGAGGTTTGGTGTTTGGACGTCTGTCTTCTGTTAGAAACCACAAACATATGCTTACACACACAGTATGTACACCACATAGCCAGACATACTGTATACTGATAGCTCCCCAGTGTACCTTTCTGCCCCCCTAGGTCTCTGCAGTTGCCCATGTGAATAAGTGCTGAACACATGCATATGTTAGTTTGACCTACATGTGTTCACACTTGGCGTTTGGCGGCCTCTTTGTTGGTCAGCTTTACCTTAAATATATTAATGACGATCTCTAGCTGTCCTGCTGTGAATGCATCCATGTTACCACGGTTACAGCAGCTGAACAGCTAGTTAGTCAGTCACCCCAAAATGTGATTTAACCTCAGTGGTAAATCCTCAGCACCCCAGTCACCCCAGTGTGTGTTATTACAGCACACATTCCTCCCAGGAAGGAATTATATCAGCTGTTGTCACACTTGCAGTCTCTCCACTGCGAGCGTGTTTAAAGGGGGAACAGTTTGCACAGAGACACAAACACACATGACAAAGTATGAGGGATTTACACAGCAATGGCATGGCAGCCTTTTGTAGTTGGCTACCGTCTTTATTGCGCATTGTTTGCACACGTTAGAAAGATAGATGGTAGAGAGATGAAAAGCATTGCCATAGACCCTATAATACCTAAATCCATTTGGGTGTTTTAGGTTATTTTTGGAAAATGTATCTACCAACACACTTTCTTTAATTTTCTTGTCAATTTTGGCTATATATGTTTATAGCGTCAGTTTTTTTTTGTGATAACATTGTGTCAAGTGACAGCCTGAAAACAGCGTGAAAACATGACAGGTGTTGCTCATAGAGATAAAGCTAAAGAGAATTATCCCAGGAATCTGCTGCTCCCTTCAGCTCCCTGAAGCTTTATAGCAAATTTCTTCCTGTTGTTTAGCATTCTGAGCCTCAACTTTATAGTTCTGGTTTGCTTTTTCTTTATTTTCTTTATTTATATTTTAAGATGGTAGTTACTGCTACTAGGCTAAGCTAGTTACACTTAGCAGAGTTTAGCTGAGGTGGGTGTTTTTAATAATGAATGCTACTATCTCAGTTAGTTCTGTGGATTAATTAACTGAATTAAAAAGATAGATTTTTTTTCACAGAAGTATTACAAGTACTAAATTTACTTTAAGCTAAGGCTATCCCTGGCTATCTGACCAGTGTTATTCCTTTAGCTACCAGAGTCCAGTAACATTAAAGAATTCAGCAACTAGTGCAGCCACTACAGCATGGCTTGGTGTTTTAGTACAGTTTTGTAGTCACTGCAAAATTTACAGGCTGTTTTCATAGAACAAACACACAGAAGTCAGAAAGTTAGTTTCAGGTCATAGTTCAGTTTTGATCGGAAATAGCGCCTGCCTTTAATTTTAGATAGAAACATTTGTTTTGGTTGGTATGCAGTCCACTAAGGGCCTCTGGCTGTGCAGTGGACATTGTTTTTAACAGGCATTAATCCACCTCCTGATAACTGCTATTCTATTGTTAGAGATGAGCTGACACACTCACAGATAGAACGACAGACAGGCAGACGGACATCTCTTGTTATTACTGTCCCTCCTAACCCTGACTATAATGTTACTCTCTTGAGCCAACGTCGAATTAGAAGAAAGACAAGTTGTCCAGTTTTACTTTCCTTTTAGTACCATGGGCTATAAACACTGTGGCTGGGTCACCGTTTGAAGAGACTAGCGAATGAGATGGAGTTACTGTTGTACTGGGGCAGTGCATACAGTTTTTTTTTACTCCTTTAAATAGTTCATAAACTGTTCTGTAATATATTTAAAAGAAACTACAGTTCATTTGTCAATATCATGACAGAGTCAGTCAAGGTGATCATGTGTTCCTGTAAAAAGTATATAGGGTTTGTTTTATTAAAATCAGTGGGACATTTTTCTTGTTCATGCTCCGTGTTTCTTCTCAAAACATATTCCTGTCTTTTACCCTGAAGCTGTCTTTTGCTGTAATGGGATAAGGAAAGAGGTGCTGTGGAATTTAGGACAGATAAGAGTCATCACAAATCCATTAGTCAGAGGGTCTTATCTTCCTTACGTCAGCCAGCAAGAGTTGTACTTGGTTACCCCAGTGCAACAAGACTCGAGAATCTTTATTGTCATTATGCATAGCACAACAAAAATTTTTCCAGCAGCTCTTGGCTTAAAAGACACATTATTTACATAAATATCACAAAAATTGCGTAAGTCAATATCAAATATGTACAAATAAAAATAAGAATGTATAGGTCCTAATCAGGTCAGCAGCATGTGAGCAGCAAAAGAATATAACATTATAAAGTGCAGCTCGGTGCAAATCTCAGTCTTTAGAAAGAGGTGTGAGCATGGGTGTGTGTCTGCAGAGGTCCAGTGTTCTGTCTGTGTCTGTCCGTAGGGGGGAGGTTGTGTGTGTGTGTGTGTGTGTGAGAGAGACTAGGGGTTAGGAGGGTGACTGATTTCACAGCTCTGGGAAAGAAGCTGGAAAATGTTAAAGTTAAGAGTCAGTCAAAGGTTAAGGTCAAAGTGTTAACAGCAGCTGCCGAGGCACTTAAAATGTGATGTTTTGCTCTGGTTTGGTGTGAAATTGCATCCAACCGCCAAACTCCTGAGAACTCTGGTGATATGGTACAGACATGATGAGCTGCTGAACTAAATTATCAAGTGTAAGTGTCATTCTTGAAATTAATTCAGGGCTGGAGTTCATGAAGTTGTTAGGAATTCTGTTTAAGTGCTAAAGTGTTTATGACTGTACATAACCTTATTGACAGTGCTACAGAGGATGCAAGCACAGCACATTGTAAAGGAATCCTGGTAGAACAAACTCCCAATAATACACTTTATGTTAGTGACATCTAGTGGATGTCTGCACATACTGCAGTACGGATAGGCGCTGCCCCTCATAGAGCCTCTTTTTTACTAACTTCATGAGTGTTTATTAAATGATTATATGCTTCATTTTCTTCAATGAATGTAAGAATGATTTATTTTATATATTTGATATGTAACCCATGTAACACATTATAGCATTTTTAACAGTTTTTTAATGCTAAAGAGAAAGTAATACCGTGGTAAATTTAAAAGACAATGAATGATTTATTTAATGCCTCTAGTAAAATGTTTCTAGGGATTAAGGATCATCTTCACTGATGCGTCTCGTCTGGTGTTCCGGATGAGCGGCAGCGGCGGAGGGATGGGTGCCACCGTACGCATCTATGCTGAGAGCATTGAGAGAGATCCTGAGAGACACAGCAGAGAGACACAGGTATAGAGATGGTGTGATGATGTGTCTGTGAACTCAGTCTGTTGATATACTGTTTCTTTGGCTGGGGTTTGTGCTCTGTTATTATCACAAGCACCTGGAGACATCAAAATGAGTTTTTAGAAATGCAGTATTCACCCAGTTTTAAAACTGATTAGACTGTGAGACTTCAGATTGTATATATTGTGTTATATATAATATATATATTCTGTACAATATATGTGAAATACAGAATGTGCCCATTATATGAATAAAGAATCCCATACACAACAAAAGCCCCACTGCTGATGTTGTTCACTGGTCATAGGTTTGGCCTACACATGCTTAACACATGTCTACTTTAAAAGACAGTTGTCTTTCTATTGTTTCTCATCATAATCTCTTTTGTGTTCAAGTGTAAATTGTTAAATTTTGATTTGTGGTTTGTATTAGATTGAACAAGGAGAAAGATATTTGTGACTAGAGGAGTACAAACAAAAAAGCTGTAATGTAGTTTCATGTGACACCATTGAAGTTATTGACCTGTAGACTATGGACTGATTAAGCCATGTGTGTTTCTCACTGCAGGTGGTGCTGGGTCCTCTCATTGCCATCGCCCTGAAGATCTCCAGCATCCATGAGAGGACAGGACGCCATGGCCCTAATGTCATCACATGAGCAAGAACACACTCATAAACACACACTCACATGCACTCACACACATGCATCTACCTGCTCACACAGAGAAAAAGCACACCATCTCTGTAGCTTCAGTCTCTTTTTTTCATTTATCATTAAAAATGACTAAATGTGGTGCTCACTGCTGAAGTTTATCTCTAATGTTCATTGACCACTATCTTCTGTCAGCTATTGAAAACTTAGAATAGAGTCAGTGTCTTAACCAGGGAGGCTAGTTAATTATTACCACGCATAAGTAATGACAAATATGTAGACAGCAAACAAGTTATCGATGTGTAAACTGACATTTAATGTCTGTGCCTTACTTTTATCAAGTCTGACAGAGAGAGCTTAAGAGAAGTTGTTCAGTTTTTAATTCAGTTTGTTTTTTTGTAATAGTGCAGTGTCCACTTTTTGCTCATATACAGTATGTGACAAAGCTCATGCAGAATTAATAATTTTGTCAAAGTGTAAAATAAAACTTGCATTGCATCACAACTAATATAGCACAGTGAAATAATTTTTTTATTTTAAAATGAAGATAAAACATTTCTTGCCCTAATGAAGAAGTGAAATGTAGTCACTCTCATGTTTACTACATAAGGACAGATTATTCCAAATGTAAAATAACCAAGTTGCCTTAGCAAGACGAGGAAAAAGAAGGAAAATATATTTTAAACTAATTTTACTTTTGTGGCTTTTTTCTTTAATTTGTCAGTGTAGGCATTTGGGATGCTGCAAAACGATATTAAAATATATTATACCTTTTTGTTTTTATCCAAATAAACCTTTCTGTGTGTGGTGCTTGCCTTTTTAATTGAATCAGACAGGTCTAATGGGGACAAATAAAACGCATCATAATGAGATATGTTGCCCTTAGGCATTTTTAAACTTTAATTAAAGAAATTTTTCATAATTAAGAGCGCCATGCTGTTGATGCTATGTATCATGTGGTGACTGAACTAGGCAGTTTGTGAAGCACAGTACCTGCTGTTGAAATGTGTTGAAGCTGTTGTGTTGAGATGAGACATGAAGAGAGTTGATCTTGGTACAACCTAAATGAGAGACAGAGAGCAGAAAGTCATAAATACACTGACTGTCGTCGTTAAGAGTTGAGGATGTGCCAGAGGATATCCTCAAGGATGTGTTCACTCAGCCAGCCAGACATTACCTGGCATCCATTGCAGGTTATTACCCCATCCAACTCTTTTATACTGTCAGGGGTTATTTCTGGGGTTGGAGGAGGATCGGTGACAGGTCTTCACATCTGAATTTACTGCTAAGAACGTGATTTAGCTGAAATTGTCCGTGTTTCAGACACTGGTGTTTAGTAGGTACAGGCTTGAAGAGATGAATAGGTTCCTTTAAAGTACTTGGTAGTGTCAGTAACAATCGCTTTTTGTTCCTGCGTTAAAATGTAGAATTTATTGTGAAACAGCTTATTAGGACACTTCATGATGTCATACACTCAACCTGACTGTATCGAGGCTCCACGTGCGCTCTAGGGCCTCTGAGTTGACCTAGTCGTACAGTGGACGAGCAAGACTCATCACCACATCCATCTCGTCAACTACAACCATGGTCTCAGGGGCATTCATGTTGCTTAGATTTATTTGTTTTACAGGGAAAAACAAGAAAAAGGGCTCATTTTTATTTTTCATGTCAGGCCAATTGTAACCAAATGTAAATAAATAAATAAATAAATAAAAATCAGTAGTTGAAGTGAAATTTGAAATACATAGCAAATAGTATTTAAGAAATTATGCATGCAAACTGTATATTATATACTGTAGATGGTATAACATTCAATTGTATTTTCTTTCATAAACATGGATATATTATGAGCTTAAATATACTGAAACATGTGTCCTACTGTTCCATCTGAACTGTAGGACACACAGTAGCAACATCATAAAGTGTACTCTGGCCAAACTTAACTACATGGTGCTGTACATTGTTGGGCAGTGGGTAAACAAAACGGACTTGGGTCATAATCAAAAGTGGTATGAAAAACTGCCACTGTAGACAGAAAGGCAGTACAGTACATGTATACTGTAGCAAATAAATAACAGGACTAATTTTTTATGTAGTTCTTTTCCAGTTTAATTTTATTTTTTATTGCCAACAAGGCCCAAGGAATCAGAAAGTAACAGCTGCACTGATTCACTCCTTCACTTATTCATTCATTCATTGGCATGTGTCTGCTCCTAGTGCCCAGCAGGAGGCATGATAATAGCAACATCTCTCTGTTGTTCTTTGCATCTTGTTGTTGTGTGGTTGTAAAATTTAAACCTTTTTACTGTAAACTCTCTCTGAGGCCCAGTAATTAACAGTATAATAGTAAAGATAATTCACCTTTTTTTACTTATAGAAGTAGCATCTCTCAGAATGTGAGGTATTGAGTGTATTCAGTAAGTGAGCACATGTTTTATAACTTAACTGTGAACAGTGGTCTTACCTTTCAGATACTATTTAAAAAGAGACACCATGCTAATAGTGAAGAAATGCCTGTTAAATTAGTATTTAAACAGTGAATTACAAAGCACCTTGAAATGTTTTGCAGGAAAAGGAATGCAAGTAAAAACATCAAAAATATTTAGGATGTTAGCTGGTTTTACTCTCGGTCCTTCCACCTTATCACTTGTTCGACTTACTCATAAGCGCCCCTACAGTGTTCCTGTAAACACTGTGGCAGTGTAAGATGATTTGTTACTGATAGGAGCGTACGGTCTAACATCTAACTTAGAATTGAACTTGGAATTCCCTCATTACATCAAATGCATTTGAACAAACATGACTACAGCTAGTAAGTGAACTGAGGAGAAAGGAAACACAATAAAGACACCGAAATGAATGCAAAAATACAGTTGCAAAGAGACAAAACATGAGAATCTTCCACGTCAGCCTACTTAAGTAAGTGTAGAAATACCATAGTAAAAATACAGAAACTCATGTGTTCCAAGTGTTACTTAAGTAAAAGTACTGCTGAAATCCTGTGGGTTAATGGGAAATCCAGCTGATTTGTTTCGAGTTGATTTGTTTAGCCTACTGGCTTCAACCAGTGCTGCTGAAGCAGCAAGACAGGGTCTGGAAGTGAAAGCTGAAGCGAGATGTAGGAGGACGGCAGCAGCCAAGATGCTAAATATGTAAAGAAACAATAACTAAAGCTCTAAAATAAATGTCGTGGAGTAAAAAATACAACACACCCTTCTGAACTGTAGCAAGGTAGAAGTATAAAACGACATAAAATGGAAAATAAGTACCTCACATATGTACTTAAGTACAGTATTTGTGGAAATAAACTTGGTTTCATTTTAGCACAGGACATTTTACATATGCAACCATATGCAAATAACTAATAGATTCA